TCTGACTCGCACATATCTATGCGCACGCCTTTCAGCCGCTGGAGCTCAAATTGTTCTTACACCACCGAGTAAAATCGATGTACTGGAAGTTGGTGGCCGGTGTTGGTTCAAACGGTACCTAGCATAGCCTTGGCCTGCTTAAACACACACTTACCTTATAAGATAAGAACTGTTTAAATATGCCTGTTTTTTTTTCATACTGTCCTTTCTTTATTACGAAGTTCGAAGCGTGGGCGAACTGTACGAATGAAATACAGTATGACAAAGAGCCTTGCTTTGGCGAAAGGCTTAGATGCTTTATCATAAAAAGCTTTGAAAAGTGCATTAAAAATATGTAGTGAACATTGACTGTTGCTATAGTATTGTAAATATATTGCCATGTTGTTCGAAAATACATCCCGTAGTTACTTCATATTGCATACTATACCACCATCGAAATATATGTATGTACGTTTTTATTAACAGCAATTACATATTTTCTCTTTGAAGTGAGGCATCTTGGGCTAGTTCGTATGGCATGACGATAGTTATAGCGCGAGAACAAAACGACGACACAGAGACAAGGACACTCGTGTCTTTCGTGTCCTTGTCTCTGTGTCGTCGTTTTGTTCTCGCGCTATAACTATCGTCATCGTTTCTCTTTGAGTATTTAAAAAAATTCTGTCTTCATTACAATACATTGTACTTGTTTTTGTTTTATGTTTGCTGATTGATTGATATGTGGGGCTTAACGTCCCAAAACCACCATATGATTATGAGAGACGCCGTAGTGGAGGGCTCCGGAAATTTCGACCACCGGGGGTTCTTTAGCGTGCACCCGAATCTGAGCACACGGGCCTACAACATTTCCGCCTTCATCGGAAATGCAGCCGCCACAGCCGGGATCCGAGTTTTATGTTTGCTGTACCCACCCTGTTACGGCCATAAAGGCCAACAGTATTTGTAAATAAAAAAATAAATAAATTAAAAACTCTACTACTCTTTGTCCGCGTCGGTGACGTCAGCAGGATTTATGCAAGAAAAATCATTTTATAATAACGTCATCTTATGATGCCTGAAGTCGCCAACGTTTGTAGCTTAATCATGATCTTACTGCGACGAAGCATAACGTGACATAGCATAATGACGTCATTGTCACTCGGTGAAAAGGTGGCCTATCCCGGACGCCCAGCAACATCGCCCGAGGTGTAGTGCGAAGCCGCGTTAGATGCACGAAGTTTTCGGTGTAGGGAGGGGGCGGGGGAGTAATAATATCGACAGAAAAAGGAAGCCAAAGATTACTTTAGAGTCATGTTAGGCAAACGCAAAAGAGACGTGGAGCTTTTGATTTGCTGTCCAGTTAAGTACAAACCTCTTCGTTAATCACGTTGATTGATATGTGGGGTTTAACGTCCCAAAACCACTATATGATTATGAGAAACGCCGTAGTGGAGGGCTCCGAAAATTTAGACCGCCTGGGGTTGTTTAACGTGCACCCAAATCTGAGCACACGGGCCTACAACATTTCCGCCTCCATCGGAAATGCAGCCGCCGCAGCCGGGATTCGAACCCGCGCCCTGCGGGTCAGCAGCCGAGTACCTTAGCCACTAGACCACCACGGCGGGGTTCGTTAAGCACGTTAAAGGGCAGCGACAACACAGACTCGAAGTTGGCTTTGCATTACAAAAAAAAACTACTTCGAATAAGCTCAGTGTTCACAGCTCAGTGTAATTTGACAAATACATATTTTATGCAATGCTCTCATTGTAACCTAAATGATCCTAATGAAAAATACGTCAGCTCTTATTTGTGTAAAATCAACCGATCCGCATAAAACCGGCCTATTTTAGGAAGCAAAATGTCTGTGTTCTCTGCTGTGTGATGAGAAATAGTTACTTCGATGTCGGCAACCTTACCAATTTAAGCAATAAGACACTTCCTTGTGCATGGCTTTCTTCTGAATATTTCAAGGATATATCTGGAGCCGTTCGTGCTGTCCTGGATTCTAAGATGAGCTGCCGAAATTTCGAACTCTGTTATCCACTGAAGCTGCGTTTTCCTTTCATACACCACTTATAAAGAAATGCCTGCAAAAGTGTCACATTTTCTCGGCATCACCTCACGGCATTCAATTTTCTATTGAAAATAATAATGTAACAGGTTGGCATATGCGTTTGATAGCAATTGGTGTTAATTCCATCGTAGTTAAGCATCCATTTATCCTGAAGTCATTCACGTATTGTTTTCCTCAAATTAACCGAAACCTCGGGATAAAAAAGTAGCCCCAATACGTATTCCGTTACATTCTTTCCAAGCAAATGAAAAAAAAAAAAAACTTCATTTCGGTACGTCTCTCGGATAGCAGCGCATGGAACGGGAGGAGGAGGAAGCGACAAAAGGGGGAAGGCAGGGAGGTTACCCAGAAAGACATCCGGTTGGCTACCCTACACTGGGGGATTAGGGAAGAGGACAAGAAAGACGAGAAAGAGGAAAGAGAAGGAAAAGAAAAAAAGAAGAGACACAGTATTTTCACTGCAGCGTGTAGAACTCTACCGCATGCTGGGGCCTTCAGCTGAGGGATCACTGGCAACAGTTCTCTTCAAAATGAAGTTAAACGAAGACGCCTTTATTAGAGAAGAGTTTGAATTAGCCTAAACCATGAATTATGTCACTCTTACTTACCCGCTAGTACTTAAAGAAAATGGTAGGAGTCAGAGTAAAACGAAAGCTCTCGACCCTCTACGTGCAATGCCTCAAAATTCAATTTTACATATATATGCTGCCTGCATGTCTAGCCTTCTAGGAAAAATGTTACATGAATATTTTTTTTTTGTTTTTGCAATGTAAGTTCCAATGTCAGCCTCAAGGAAACCTCTCTCTACCGCATGTTACTGTCATTGTATCGGGGTGGCGCGGCTTGTCAAGCTGCAGATATTGGAGCTTTTACCCTGCTATCCTGACCATAAATGTTTTTTTTATTTCTTCCTGTTCAACACTGTCGTAACTGTATCAATTATGGTGAAATGAACAAAATCTGAAATCTCCGAATTTCCAAGAATATGTTTCCACAAGCGGGCGTGTCTAATTCAAGGCTTTCTCTGCTTTCCTTGTCGCTTGCGTGTGTTTGCTCAGTACACTCCCCTCTAATCCAAACAAACCTTTCTATTAGAGGAGAGCTTGCGATGCGTGAAACAGAATTCCCGCCTGCCAAAACGTCGGCTGTAGCACGTCGCTTGTTTACGAATTTTTTATTACGTCCTAGTATACATACACAGACACATCAAGTAAGAGCTAGTATAGCGTACACTACTAATGTATGTCTACGAGAAACCAAATCACTAGTTCTTCCTATATCAAACCGAAAATACTCCATCCGTCATTGACTTCCCAGGTTAACGCTCTGATTAAGGCGTCGATCATATCGCGTCCCCTGTGAAACATTTATCGAAGAAGGAAACTTGAATATTGCTCCTTTATGCGGCCACGGGGACCAACAACAAACAAATCGTTCAGACGGAGATACTTCAGTCGAAGAACCCATTCTAGCTAGTCAATTGCTGAATGCTTCAAGAACCAGTAGCGAGCGTGGCTGTGCCCGTGTGAGATAGCGCGCATATAAACTAACGGCTCGCATATTTCCCAACGCCGCATTATGAGTAACGAATATGCGCCACGTATCTCGTCAGCACTTCGAACAGCGAAAGCCGGGCCGATTGTAATCAGACGGAGCCGCACAGGCACTTAGCCGAGTGGACAGTTGCACTGCTTTCTCGGTAATAGCGATGATAGTATTGACGCAGAGCCACGAGGCGAAGAGCCGAAGCTACTCGCTTCATGACGCCGATATGCTTGACGAGGGGTACGCCGATATTATCACTAACTAAGATTAATACATGCAGAATAAGGCATGGTGGGTGCTCCGGAAAAAGTGCGGAATGCGCTCAACCGGGAGTTTCTGGACTCCGCGAGCCACGCCTAGACAATACAATGGTACGTCGCAAAAATATACTCCGTTTCGTTGAAGAGGTGCAGTGCGGTGGGTGCCTTAGGGAAATACGTTCAGCAAAGTGTGTAAATCCAAGCGTGTCGCGCTTGGATTCCGTCGTTGTAGACGCGGCCTCTGCGATCGGCTCCGGCTACGCGCTGCCGGAGCTCATCACGGAGGCCACAATACGAGAACAAAGAAACGCTAAGCGATCCAGAACAACCTACTGACGTTCACATTATCAACGGGGCTCGTTTATTTCAAAGACACAAAGCATTTTCATTTATTGCTCAGTCCATAAAGGAAAAAATAGTAAGTTTTGGTGTGGTAAAATCCTTGAACCTTACTTTGACTGGCTTCCGCTGTTTTTCACCGGATGTATGAGACGGGATTGTACAATCCCCCCCATACTGAAGCCCTGTGTTAATCTCGAATGAGTGTGTTTCGTTCATTACAGACAACTCTCGCGCGTCTGCTTTGGCACCGGTACCAGTGTGTCAGAATTCGCGATGGCTATAGCATAAGCTTCATTAAGAACGAACGAATCTGGTGATCGGTTCCCTCCCGTTCTTCTCGGACGATCACACCACGATCGATAAGCTGCGAGAGTGTAGATCACGTATCCCCACGCATGTGTCCCACTGATCCCCTTCCCCCTCCGGTGCTTTATTTATGCGTCACGTTATGCAACGTTGTATCCGTTTTTTTTTTTTTAAGCTCTCGTCTCTTCGCTGCGCTTCTCGAATGAAGCGGGCATCTGTTCGCATCGTGCCTCTAAGGAGGGGCCGTGCGCCTTGCTCTTGACCATTCAAAGCGAGGAGGATCTCCGGGGAAGGTCATTCGGCTGAGGTCAGTAGAAGGTAAATCGCCACTCCTCGCTTCCATCTCATCTCAATACCTCCTCGCCCGCAAGCCTGTTCGTTTTAAAGCCGCTTCTTTTGCTACCACTGACGGCGTCATCCTGTTTGCTTGAATTTGCATTAGGCCATGCTGTCACTGCTCTGCATTCACTTGGTGGCAGTATAAAAGCAGCACGTCTTCCAGCGATAGACCCGTCGCACGTCGTCCAGGTTTCTTGGACATTAGCACTAGCTGCCTAAGCTGAGCAACAACGCTGTCACTATGAACGCTCCGGTGAGTATAACTTACACTCGCCTAACCCCATTATCGCCATCAATGAGATTGTCCGCCGCTATGATGCAGTGTTCACGGGGCTTGGCTCCTGACCCGATCCTGGCGGGATATATCGCTGCCTCGGTGGTTACTATTTAATGGAAGTGAAATGCTGGGGGTTTGCGTACTGTTTATTGTCAATGCATGCACGTCATGAACATCACAATCACCAGAATTTTTAGACCTTTCCCCTTCGGGACACCACGTGATCAATATCGAAGTATTGATGAGCGAAACTCAAATCTTGTATCAATTTTGCCGCAGAGATTGGGACTTAAATATTACAAGACCATTTATATTCGGGGCATGTTTCGAATGACGCCACCGGAAACAAATTATTAATGAAGTGAGGCTAATGATGTGTACATTCTATTGGTATTAAAACACTTTATGATAAAGAATTTCGCATAACGCGGACATTCATTTTACGCATGGTTCACTCCTCTTGGGTAAGAAAGTTTGTGCCAAATTTGTTTGAGTATTGTCCTCATACTAGAAATTATAAAATGTTATATTTCAGTTGATTACCTTTTCATATCCTTGAAAGTTCACCTTGACAATTCCAGATAACTCCTACAATTACTATCAGATTACTCAAAATTCCACAAGGCATGCGTCCATCGCATATCACCCCTCTTCCAATTATGTTTTCAAGGAATGTGTTCTATTAGTTTGAGCTTTTGCTGTAGCTTTGTGAACCGGAGTGTTATCTGTGAATGACCGTCAAGCCACGTGACGTTAGCTCTATCAGTTTCGCACGTCGTCGCTTATTCCCTAATTCTCGGCTTCATTCCAAACCCTTATTATCTCTCGGCCTCTGCGATCAACCTCGGAAGCGAGCTGCCGGAGCTAATCGCGGAGGCAATGGTTATACTCCAAGTCTTTGTCTCCTACGCAGAGCAGTGAAGGAAGAATAGAGCAATTCACCCATAGGTAATATAAAAGAGCATGGCGGTAAAGGTAACTTTGCAAAATTATTGCATTTCTAGAAGTGAAGAGCAATATTGAGGAGCTGTAAACGGTCCTCTGAATTATGTATGTTCGCAATGTTAAGACATAAGCAAACGACTTCTTCTCATTCAAACAGATATATCCAGCTCTGATTACACCCACGTGTAGGTGTTCCAATTGGTTGCTGAGCATTAGCGTCCCTTGTTCACAAAATGTTTAATAAAATAATAATTTTGGTGTTACGTCCCAAAACCACAATGTGGTAATGAGGCACGCTGTAGTGAAGGGCTTCGAATACTTGTGGTTTTTATAACGTGCTAGTAATTCTAAGTACAGGGGCTTGTATAGTATTTGGTCTCCATGGAAAAGTGGCCCCCACGGTCGGCATTCGATCCCGGTCCAGAGTCGGGCACCGCAACCACACCATAATTGTGTGGGAACGTTGAAGCGAATTATTCTTCAGGCTTCCGGAACGAAAAAAGAAAAACCTTGCTACTTGAGCACGGTCTTTTCAAGTTCAGTGTTTCGTCAGTGTTCCCACCGGAAGAGAATGTGAAAACAGTGGCGTGCTGATCTTTCAGAGCGTAACTAAATCATTTCGATGATCCCGTTATGGCATTCTTGAAAGACATAATGTGAGTTGGTCCTTTGTATCCGCAGCTTGCTTGTGTAGTTTATTAATTTCGTACTCACACGCGAAAATCAGTATTCTCGCTTCCTGGACAAAATGTAAGACGGCTCTATTTACTTACACTTTGTCTAATTATGAAATAAAGGCAGCACGTTATAGAAAAAGAAACCTCTAGAATGACAGCCACTGACCGGGAGACGTTGGTGTTTTATTACCTTGACTTCGGCGATTCATTATATGCCCTCTCAGGTGCAGTGTGACTTCGACGAAGACCGCACAGGTAGACACAGGAACTTCGATTGTAAATCGGCTCTCGTCTGTGTCTCCTGTCTTCGCTGACGTCACGCTATATTTGCCAGATTTTGTGGATATTCAGTGCAGCATTTATTTCACCAGGCCTGTACGTATAGACTGCAGCTTTAACACGTGCCGTCGGTCCTACAGCTGGCAACCATTCTGCTAGGACTAATCTCTGCTGCCTCTGCCGGTTTTATCGGTGCTGGCTACGGCCTCGGAGGGGGGCACGGGGGCACCCTCGGCTCTGTCGGTGGCGCTGGTGCAATCGGGGGCGGCTATGGCGGTGTTCTCGGTGGTGGCGCCGGCGGTGGTGCTGGTGTCACCATCGCCGCTGTTCCTGTCCCTACAGCGACTCCCATAGTTGCCGCCAGGCCAGTCGCTGCTGACGTGCCCAGCCACTCCACCACATCCTACGGCATCAGCACTACTACTGTGACAACACTGCATGGTGGAGCTGGTGGATTTGGCGGAGCTGGCGGGTTGGGCTACGGTAGAGCGGGTTACGGAATCGGAGGTGCCGGCCTCGGATCTGGAGCTGGTTTTGGAGGCGCAACCGTACCCGTCATCGCAGTTTCCCGCCCCACTGTCACCGTGGCTGCTGCGCCAGCGGTCGCCGTTGCTCGTCCCGTAGCCGTTCCGACTGTTGCCGTGGCTCGCCCTGTTGCTCTGCCGGCAATTGCGGTCGGCGGCAGTGGTCTCGGAGGTGGCCTTGGTGGAGGCCTTGGTGCTAGCTACGGTGGTGGCTACAGTGGTGGCCTTAGCGGCGGCTTTAGTGCAGGTCTCGGAAGAGGCATCGGGGCTGGTTACGGTGGCACACATGGAGGTTTTGGCGGCCTTTTCGGTGGTCTCGGTGGCGGTTATGGTGGTGCCATCGGAAAGCCTGCCGTCAGCTACAGCTACGCATCGAAGTGGTGGTAAGTCGAGTGCTTCGAGAGAGCAGCAGTGATTCCGCAACTTTTCAAACCTCTTAGAGAATCAGTAGCGAAAGAACTAAAAAAACAATTCTCATGCTATTCAAAAACTTAGTTTTTAGTAACACTGGTGGTCCTTAGTTTCCTTCTCACGTATCTGATCCTATATAGTTACAAAATTGCAGTATCTTAATAGGCTTCATAACTGTGAATTTGAGGCAATGTTGGCGGCTGCGGCGGCTGCATTTTCGGTGGAGGCGGAAATGCTATAGGCCCGTGTGCCCAGATTTGGGTGCAGGTTAAATAACCCCAGGTGGTCGAAATTTCCGGAGCCCTCCACTACGGCGTCTCTCATAATCATATGGTGGTTTTTGGACGTTAGACCCCACAAATCAATCAATCGAGGCAATGTTGGCGCTAAGTATATTAAAAGAACGTGAGCTTAGGCGTGTTAGTATTCTATCCTAACACCTATGCGCGCAGAAAGGACAGGCACACAGATGTACGACGTGGACACGGGTACTGCTGCGTATGCGTCGCATCTTTGCATTTCTGGTCTCTCTGTGTCCTATAGGTGTTAAGCTAAGTACATTTTCAGTGAAGCTAAGTTGCCGATGCCAATGAGCCTTCACAAACATAAAATCTTCATTCAGTCTGCCCTTGAGGACCGTTCCTTAGACGAAAAAAACTTGACCGTACATTATCTCCAATCGTAAAGTTGGGTGACTAATGAATTCGGGAATAGCTCAAAAGCAGACCATTTCAGTAGGTTCTCGGAAAGCACTGGTTCGTTTTCAGCTACATAACGAATGCGAATCTGCATTCACAGGCATTGGAAGTATTTATTGGCTTCTGCAGTGACCTGGAGGCGTTTACATCATGATGGTACGCTAAATTAAATATTGATTTACTTTCAGAATACGTGTAAATGACCCAGCAGCTTTGTGGAATGGGCCAAATCGTCTGGACGTCCCCACCATGGAAGAGCGTAGAATGCTTGGTCTAAACACATGCGCAAGTTCGGATAGTGACCAAAAAATTGTAAACGCCAATGATAGTGTCCACCAAGCATGTTGAAGTGCAACATCAATGATCAATCTCAAGACCACTCTCAAAGTTGTTTCAAACATGAAGTTGTGCTTCACGAAATTCTCTTTCAGATTCCGCAATGGGAATCTGTAGTGTTGATCAAAATAAATACACGTCAGATCTGTATCTCGAACCTTGACTCTTTTAGGGGCGAAGCTCCTTGTTTAGAAAAAGTTTATTGACAGCATGTACAGAACACAAAGGCTTCATACCATTCCAGTAACAGGGCACATACACTTCGGCACATCTATATTTAGCGACTAACATCACTTCGTTACAGTGAAGACATTTGCTCTAATATACATGATTATGTTGGCATACATGTACACAAAAATTCAATGTGATATCACGATACAAGGGTATAACGATACAATAGATCCAAATGAAACACAATTTGTAACAAATGAAATCCTTATGGCGTGGCTCCTTGTGTTTAGAAAAAGTTTATTCTCTCATGGGACGCAACAAAGCTAAGGGACAAGCGTCTGTATAACAGGCACAATAACAAACAAAAGACAAAGCACAACATACATTACACATTTAAACAAGTGTCCAAGTCCGTAGGATGTCCATCGTTCACAGTATTAATAACTATACATACACTACATAAATGCACTAATCACAATATGGACAATGTACATGATGATATATGTGCAGAATTTACAAGACTTGGTGAAGATGTTAGAAAATATGTACAACAGGTATCAATATTCATAAAAGTTGCATAACTTACAGCGTTAAACTGAAGTGCGTATATAGAAGAGCTCACACCAATATGGGACATACACAAACACATAAAATAGTAAACACATATTGATTACATGCACCAATCAGACATTAACAGATGACCTGGCTATAGGAACCAGGCCAAATGGAAGACTAGTCGAACGCGTCTGTCAACTACGGACAGAAAGCGGCACGACCATTGTCGCAGAAATTCTTCCTCCCCAAGGAAGAACAATTCCTCCGACAGAAACAATAAGAGTTCACAGTAGAGGCGTTCCAGAATCGGAAAAAGAGCACGACGACGATGACCTGCCACAACAGCTTCGCACCTATTACGCCATAAACAAAAAGCTCCCGCAGCTATAAGAAGGCGTGCAAAGCGACTACGCGAGCAGCGACCAGATGTTACAAAGCGATTAACACCTAGGCCACGAAAACTAGCGTTAACTGACTTCCAAAATACCTTTGCGATTACACATTGCTTCAGCATATGCTGGTTAGACTCCTGTAACGGGCAGTTAGGACAAGTGGAAGATGGGACCATGCGCCACCTCTCCAATCTGTCCCGTGTTGGGAGTACTCTCCATCCAAGACGCCACATAAAGTCACGGAGGTGACCAGGCAAAAACGATGCCGTTATCGCGCTCCACGAGACATGTCTCGATCGTGCTAGACGGGCTGGAGGAACCAGAGGAAGCAGAAGAGCCGCCGTTGTATCTACAATGCGGCTTTCAAGAATGTCCACATCGGGACAAACCTGCTGCGCGTGTCGATAAAATGCTACTGCCGTTGAGTAAAATGCAGGCACGTTAAGTGTTTGCGGTGCAGAATTAAGCCGTGCATCAGGTAGTAAATAGCGTAGTTTGGTGCCTAAGAAATAACAGGCAAGATCACGCGCGGGGCACTGATCACCATGCAATAACCGAAGTAAGAATCGTAGGGCAAGCAGCCGGCAGCGAACAGAGACGGATGGGAATGCGAATCCACCGCAGTTTCTCGGTTGCCCAAGAGCTGCTCGGCAAACCAGCTCTGTTCCACCCGACCAGAAAAAGGAGCCAATGAGGGATTGCAACGACCTGGTGATTCGCAATGGGGGCTGTAAGACGTGAGATATGTACCATGCACGGCCGCAAAACACCGTCTGTGCTAAATACCTTCTTTCGAGCATCGGTAAATCATACTCTTGTGCTTCCCGGACGTGTCGTTTTACATCTTCGACTACTGCATTCCACAAGGAGGCTGATATGCCGTAGGAAGTATAATGAAGCCCCAGAATACGAATAGAGTCACTTTTCTGAAGACCGAAAAAGGAACTTAGACATGCGTCTGGGGAACCAATGAATAAATATCGACATTTGGAAAAATTTAAAGCGGCACCTGAAATCATGCCATACGTCGTAAAAAGTCGTAGGCTACGGGATAAACTGTCCTCATTCTTCAAATACAACGTGATGTCATCAGCAAATGCTGTCACTGTCACGGTACCACTACCTGGAAGAGGAAGGCCTCTAACGTAAGGGTCAGCGATTAGCGATTGAAAGAATGGTTCGAGGCTGAGTACAAAAAGTGCAGGGGATAGAGGACCCCCCTGGCGAACACCACGGGTAACCGGAAATAGCGCACTCTCTAAACCATCAAGAAACAACGTGCTGCGTATATTTCGGTATGCGTTTCTGAGAAGCTCAACGAAGTTTTGTGAGAAGCCAAATGCTGCCATTACGCTAAATATGAAGCTATGTTCGAGGCGATCGAATGCCTTTTCCTGGTCAAGTGAAACCAAGAGTCCCCGAGCTGATCTTGCTAACGTGTACGCAACTATATCGCGCGTAACAAAGGAAAGACTGTGGATTTCTCTTCCAGGAATAGAGCACGCCTGATGATGACCTATTAAGGAGGGCATCAAGCTTCTCAAACGCCGAGTGATAATTGCCGCGAAAGTTTTATAATCAATGTTGAGGAGCGTTATTGGTCGCCACTCCTCTGGGCGAACTGACGATGGGTCATGTTTAGGTATTAAAACAATTCGACCATCGCGAAAGCTATCAGGAAAATCAAAGTTCTCGAAACAGCGGCAAATAACAGAGGTGAAAAGAGCACCAATGTCGTCCCAAAACGTCAAATAAAACTCAACAGGCAACCGTATGGCTCCTTATGGCGTGGATTGGGCGTCCCTCGTAAGACGTAACCACCAGTGGCACATACCCGAAATAGGTATAACATTTGGCCTCCAAGGTGGTGCCGGTGAGACATTTCTTCTGTGCGTTGTTTAACAATAAAAAAAAGTGCTCAATGTACATGCCAATGGCTGCTAATGGGAAATGAGAGACAGGAGCATTCGGCTTTTAGTCAACGCGCACGCTGCGATCCCCATTAGCAGCCATTGGCATGTACATTGAGCACTATCGGACAAGAAAGGGTTGCTACATTGTACTTGCTGGGTGTAACCTCCTTAGTTTTAGAAAGGTTTAGCGAGCGTTGAGCCGCAGGGCCATGAATACAATGAACTAGTATATACCACGAATTCGAGGTGGTTAAAGGGGAGAAGCAGATACGAAGCGCAAGCCGTAAGAAATTAAAAGCTGAATCCTCCTGTCTCTAATTTCACATTAGCAGCCACTGGCATGTACATTGAGCACTATCTGACAGGAAAAGGTTGCTACGTTATACTCGCTGGGCGTAACCTCTTTGGTTTTAGAAAGGTTTAGCGAGCATTGGGCCGCAGTGCCATGAATACAGTGAACTAGTATATACCATGAACTCAAGGTGGTTAAAGGTGGAAAGTGGACCCGAAGCGCAAGCCGTAAGAAAGTGTGCATGTGCCACCTCTAGTTTAGTCCATGGAATGTCCACTGAATGGCGGTGCTTCTATATGGGGAATATATGATAAAAAGATGCGAGATGATGGGACTAGGAGTGTTGAATAGATGGACGAACGGACACATAGACAGATGCATGGATGGACGCATGAACGGACGCAGGGGCGGATGCATGAACGAACGCAGGGACGGGCGCACGAACAGACGCATGGACGGTCACACAGACGGACGCATGGACGGACGAATGCTTCGCCCCACTCTCCATCATTCACTCCGTGGATATGCTGCCATTTTTTTATGGATGACATTGGTCACAAGGCTTTTATGAAATACAGGCGCGAAAATCGGAAAATTTTCTCATGTTGCTCATTGTCATTAGTCATGCAGACACCGCAATGTTAAGCCCAGCGTCAAAACTGGGTCAGGTGTTCTGACAAAGCAGACAAAATTATAAGTAACACATTTTTTTTTAAGTTCGTTAACGGGACTGTTCCCTAAGTTTTTTCCCGCGGTCGGTCCCAGAATGAATTAAGCATTCTGAAAAACAAGTATGTTGTGCATATGAAGACTTATTTGTATATCTATTGTGACATCATTTCCCTGCTGTAACGATACATCGCAATGTGTCTTATTCTTGAAAAAAAAATATGGGGCCTTTGAGCATATTTATTTATTTATTTATTTATTTATTTCAAAATACTGCCAATCCCTCAAAGGGATTATTACAGGGGTGGGAGTTGATTTATACATGAATGTACAGAAGTAATGCGGAGAGCATATTATGCGCTCTGTAATAAATAGACATATACACGTATAAACGAAAAGACACACTCTAAATTTACACACAGCAAGAGATTAAAACAAGCATACTACATCCATATCACAATAACAATAACCAGAGTGACATGTGTCTGTGTCACACAGCTCTCTCCACGAGTTCAGAGAATAATTCTAGCGTAGGCTGAGTAACAGTAATTTCATCTAAGGCATTCCAGTCTCTTACAACTCGTGGAAAAAAAGAGAAGCGAAATACATTATTAGTAGGACGAAATTCTTCTAACGTGAATTTGTGTTTGTGTCGCGTTTCTCTGGCAGAGCTGTATGTAACAAATGACCTGGGGTTGATCTTAAAATTATTTTTTAACAACAAATATAGGGATTTCAATCTGTGCACTCTCGCTCGGTTAGACAAGGTAGTGAGACCAGCCTGCCGAAGAAGTTCTGTTGGGGAATCGCTACGCCTGTAGCGATTGAAAATAAAACGGACAGCTTTCCTTTGTACGCGCTCAAGCGCAGCGATGTTGTATTTAGTGTGTGGAAACCACGTAATACTGGCGTATTCCAATGTCGGTCGGATAAGACTGGTGTAGGCAAGAGAACGTGTTTCAAAGGTAGATCCGGCAAGCGATCGTTTGAGAAAGAACAATTTATTCATTGCTTTTTTAGAAATTTGCTGCACATGCGCATTCCAGCTTAGGTCACTGCTTATCGTTACACCCAGATATTTGTACTGTGAAACATTTCGTAGTGGGGTGCCGTTGATACTGTAAGGAAAGGTAAGTGTTGATTTTTTGTTAGTAATGTTCAT